TATATATATATATATATATACACACATACATACATATACACATATGTTTGTGTGTGTGAAGGGGTGATATTCTCAAAAAAGTAGAGGTATTCAGCTGGGTAAAGTGGGCCTGTTTTTGAAAAAGAAAAAACCTACATGTAAACATAAAAAAACAAAAAAGCAGATCAAATAAGTCTTGGTATTAGTACCACCTTAAAAATAATTTCTAGTACCACTGAATACCGGCAGAATTTCACTCCTGTATATGTGTATGCTGCTGTAATTATGATTAATGTGTGCAGGAACAGTAAGAACATAGGTGAGACAAGGTCATTTGACTCAGAGTTTGTCTTTAAAAACATAAATTAAAAGAAAATTCCAATACTTAAATGCAAACCCTTCATATCCATATAACTATCTAACAAATCAAATCATTTTGAAAAGTATCTAAAGTTCCAAAAGTTAAAATGTATTACTTCTAAACATTCAAGTTTCTATTTCTTACACTTTCATTCTAGCAATCTGGAACACCTAAATCATGTCCCCTGTATTAACTCTCCTGTACTCCAGATAAAACAAGTCCAAAACACTAAACAGATATTCTATTGCTCCACTTCTACAATCTTTTCAACATTTGATGATATTCTTTCTATAGTAAGGGGAACAAACTGCACACAAAACCCCCAAATAAAGCCTCACTAGGGCATTTTACAAGGTTACAATAACCATCTTATTCTTAAGTTCAAAATTTGTGTAAATAAAACAAAAATAAAATAAAAGTTGTTCTTTTCACAAAAATTTAACACTGAGCAGAGGGTTTTATGAATTTATCAATATTCAGATCTAAATTATTGTCTTTTTTTTCACAACACCAATGCTCTTTCTCACACAAGTTTCCATACCTCAAGCACATCACTGTACATTTCTAAATATTAAAACTCATCTTCCAGCTTTGGCTCATTTACCAAAACTTTTCATTCTGGATAATAGGAACATTTTCAACAAAAATTGGCTCTTCCTAGCATTTGAGCATCATTAATAAGTTAGGAATATTACTGTAAACAAAGCTATTGAAATAACTGACATATATAATGAATAAAAAGGTCCTAAAACAGACCCCCTGAGTAGCTCCATTGGTCACATTTTCCAAATCTGAGAAATGTCCATTTATCATTACTCTTTGCTTTCTACCACTAAGTCAATCTTCTATCATTTCTCTAGTTTTTCATGAAACACACACAGTAGGGTTCAAACGATTCATCAAATATTGATGTATTGAGATCTTGTATACAATGATCAAATAGACGACTCATAGCTCACGGCAATAAGTATGGTAATTTATGTTTTAATTTGTAACTTGCCACAATTATTGATCTGCAAATGATTAAAAAAAAAATTAGTTCCATGATCCCATAGTTGTACATAAATTGCACGTGAATGTATTGTATTATGAAATATGTAGCACAGCAGCTTCTAGAATTTGATTTAGAAATCAATGGCAAGAAGTGAATCTAAGCTAAGAGAAAGTGAAAATCAAGTATCTAAAATTCAGAGCCCTTCAGTAGCCTATAGATCATAAGTGTGGTAATATTTTTGGTTTCCTGACACTAAAGTTAACATTTTCCTTACCTGAAAAATAAATTTCAGTAGCTACTCACCTCTTAACACAATTAAGTTATAGTCCCTGTGCACCTGCCTTAGAAATTTGCATGCTACTAGCCTTTAGGTAACTCTTACCTAATCTCCTGAGATTTTTCATGAATTGCACTACAGCATAATGATGCTACTATGCTGCAAAAGCCCTCCACCAATAGGAGGGCAACACACCTCCTTGCTCACTAATTTCCTCTGTGCTTTTGTACTCATGAATATTCATTTTTTGATGAGGCAAAAAATACTAAGGTACACTAGAAATGGGGAAGAAGTGTGTAGAGAGGTGAGTATCTGTCAGAAACACATTTTCTGGTAAGGAAAATGTTTACTACTGGGACAATACACACCTCTTCACAAAGTTAAGATAGAATCCCATGTTGAAGTGGTGGAGAGCCAGTGCAAATATTTATCTAGATGAGTTTCCTTCAGAAATTGCCTGTGGAGTGTGACACAATAGCAGAGGCTCCACAGGGACACATCATGGAAGACCATATCTAATCTCTGCCAAAGAGGAAGAAGCATATAAGCCCCATGTGTCACAGGGATTGGCAAATAAGAACATGGTCATTTGAATACTTTCATACAATACTGATAAGTGTAGCATGGTTTGAGTGCATTCAGACCATACCTTGTGCTCACATGAACTCTACTGTTACACTATTGGCTAACACCAGCTGCAGGAGGAGGGCATGAGTGGCATGTTATAAGTATAGTTATACGAATGGTGACCTGTGCTACATTGACATTGTCACCAACATCTCACTTCCCACTGATTGGTACCTCTTGTTCTAACCTCAGTGGTTAAGTCCCAATCTGTGAGAGTTCTCTATGGTCCACCACCCCAGCAGTTAGGAACTGGTAAGTGGCAAGGGTCTTCCAAGCTCCACTCAATGAAAAAAGTGGGGAGACCCAGAGAAAATGTCCAGATCCCCATCTGTCCTTTTACAGCCAGAAAGGTCTTTTACTGGAGACACTACAACAGGTGATCATATATGCCTACTTTGAAAAGCTAGGGAAGCAGGCAGAGCACCCCCTGTGCTCACTTTTTCCATGAAAGTCCATGAAGTGGGTACAGGCTGGATCAAACAGATATATAAATATACCACGAGGATACCTCAAGTGGTCTTGCAGAACACCCCATATCTCAGTGGGCATAAATGAAGCCAGGGTGGATGGTACGAGTGCTTTCCATTATCCTGGCTCAATTCAGAATTTTGGGAAATAAGTATACCCTAGGAGGCACTACCAGCCACCTGGTGGGATCCTATAAGTGAATGTTGTAATAAGAAAAAGGAAATGTTCTCACCTGTTTAAAAGACAGTGGGCAGACTGTAGGAAGGCAAATGGAAGCAGACAGTAACCTTCAGGAGACAAGAAAGCCAGATGGTGAAAATACAAGCTTAAAGGATCTCATCCAGCAACTATCAGAAATGAACAGCAAGGGAATGAATGAGGTGATAAATCTGATGGGACGAAATGTGGAACAGTCTGTGTCCATCAACCCCCTTGGGGTGTAGACCAAATGTAGAAACTGATGGACTCAACCTGTAAGGGTAGGAGTAGGTAAGTCCCTGGAGAAGGAGTAATCCCAGGGAATGTAGAATTGGAGATGGGAGCCACAAAAATAAGAGTTGCGAGTTAAGTTGTTAAGAATGACACACAAGTTTATCCAGGTCTGATCATTTACAGAGGTGTAAAATAGATGGAAGGGGGATAGGAGAAAAGAAGTTGTTTCCTTCCAGAGCAACTGAAGTCTTAGAGAGGACCAGTCAGGATAAGGGAGAATATAAGAACAATGTAAAGGGTTATGGAAAGAGTCAATAGCATATATATCTGAACCACAGTGATCTCAAGACAAAAAAAAGTAAGAGAAAATCCAACCAAAAACATCTTAGGTGTGAAAAAAAAAAGGTATGGGCAAAAATGGATTGAATGTGCAACTTAAAGGAATGAAATCAAAATTGGCAGCCAAACTGGTAACTACACTTATTGC